TCTGGACACAGCAAGAGCAGTTGTCATAGGTGCAGAGGTCCGGAAGAGCTATTTCGTCACAGTGGCACTCATGGTGGCAGTATCCACCAGTGGCGTTGCACTTCCTGTTGAGATCTGGACAGGGTTCTGGATTGGGTGTAAATATAAATTAAATCCCTGAGAGTTATTTAATTGCAATAATAATGATGACGGGTAATGGTGAAATGACTGGTAATTGTAAAAAGATTATAACAATAATTTTAAAAATGTTACTAATCAAAATAAGTACTAATTTGGCTTATAATGGGGAAAAGGGTGTATGGATTTTCGCTAGGAAAGTTTTTCGTCCTCAATGGCGAGTTTTGCTTTTACTTATTCCCCAAAAATACGGACATAATAGAAATACAGATTTTTTTTATTGAGCGCGAGACCAAATATCTTGAAATTCTTGTACTCTTTTTGAAAAGAAGGATATCATTTACGATGCAGAAGTGGATTTTACAGCCCAGAATTCTGTTTCTGAAAAATTCTTATCTATAATTTTCAAGAATTGTTTGCCATCCCCACTTCTTTAGTTGAAAAGAATCTTACTGGTCTGACGAATTTGTAATTAATAATAACAGTAATAATAATCAAAATACTGATAATTATGATGATATTGGCAATTACAAGAATAACCAAACACTTGCGATGATTTTAACCAAGGAATAATAAATATAATGTATTTATAATAAAGACACTGTATAATAAAGACATTGATAATGATAAGAATACGAATTAACAAAATGATAACAAAAAAATAATAATAATAATTTTAAAAGATTGATAGTAAAGATGATGAAAATAATGAAAATGATAATAGCAGTGATAGTATTAATCATAATAACAATAACATAAGGATAATATCAATGATAATAATGATAATGATAATAACACTGATGATAATGATAAGAACCCTGATAATGATAATGAAAATGATGATATGGTAAAAGCAATTTGATGAAAAAACACTTACCCTTGACGCAGCAGGAGCAGTTGTCGTATTTGCAGAGCCCCGACAGAGCCACTTCGTCAGACTTGCACTCGTGGTTGCAGTATCCACCGATGGCGTTGCACTGCATGTTCAGGTCTGGACACGGGTCTGTTTCGGCAGAGAGGATGGACCTTAATTCATGGAATCTCTGTCAACGGAAAACTCTTAAAACTCATGCTAGGTTTTCTGATGATATTGATTAACATTCGTTGAAAAATTCTGGGAATGTAAACTATGAAACGGGCACTATATGAAATACGAAATAAGTAAATAAATGAACAATAAAATGATCATGAAACATTAGTAATAATGATAACTGTGATAATGATAATAGCAATGGTTGCAGTATTGATTATGATGATAGGAGTATTGATAATTCTGATATAATACTATTGTTAATGGTGATGATATCAACAGGCACGATGATCACCATAAGTGTCATGGTGATAATGATATGATAGAATAAACATTTTCAGCATCTACATTGATCTCATCATCGTGATAATGATGATATTAATGATTGATAATTATGGTGACGATAATGATAATAATAATAGTAATGGTAATAAAAGTAGTGTCATTAATAGTGAGGATGTTAATGATTATGATACGACAAATAATAATAATAATAATGAAGATAATACTGAATGTGATAATATTAAGAATAACAATAATACTGATAATAATGATGGATAAGATGATTATAAGAATAATGATAATGATGATGATGATTCTATTAATAGTGATACTAATGGTGATTATAATTATAACCATAATAATGATAATGATACTGATGATAGTAATAATAAAAACATGATAATAATGATGGATAAGATGATTATAAGAATAATGATAATGATGATGATGATTCTATTAATAGTGATAATTTTAATGATGATAATAATAATGAAAATGAAATTATGAGAAATAATAATAATGATAATAAAGACTATCTGACCTTTGACACAGCAGAAGCAGTTCTCCCTCTCGCACAGCCCGGCCAAAGGGGTCTCGTCCGGCTGGCACTCTTGGTCGCAGTAGCCGCAGTGTTTGAGGCACTGGTCTTGGGGGTCGGGGCACGGGTCGGCGGCTGGGGTCGGAGGGAAGGGGGGAGGGAGGGTAAGGTACGTGATTTTTTTTCTTTCTTATTCTCGCCCTTTTGTTTATGATTTTACTTCGTCTTGTCTTTTTGTTCGTGTGAGTGTGTTTGCATGTGTGAGTTTATGTATGTGTGTGTGGGTTTGTGTATGTGTTTGCGAGTGTTTGTGTGTGTGTGTGTTTATGTATGTGTGTGTGAGTGTGTGTGTGTAAGTTTGTGTGTGTGTGTGTGTGTGTTTGTGTGTGTGTGTGCCTGTTTGTGTGTGTGTCTGCACGAAATTTTATTTCTTAATTTGAAGAGCGTGCTTATATGTACATTGATGGATCAATAAAGAACAACTGAAAAAAACAGAAACATCCCATGAAATAGAGCACAGAGCAAGCCGAGAC